TAGGCTACAGGAGTGTTACAGTTTCGTCAGAACACCCATGTTGAAGACATGGTTACAAGCATTACATCATCTCCTTGGCACCTGTAACCAAGCTCTACAGGTGCTACAGATGATCAAAAGCTCCCATAGGCTTAGTAGGAGAGTTGTAGCAACTAGAGAGACTCCTGAGTTCGCCTCCAGAGGCCCAGAATGGGTACTTAAGAGCCCCTTCTTCCCCCTGAACTTTGTTTCCCGATCTTCATCATTACTTACCAGCATAAACCGTCACCAACACCCAGTATCAACCTGCCTTTTGGCCCTGTTCCTGCTGTTTGTAACCTGAACTTCAACCTTTCAACCCAACACCTGTTCCCCAGCACTCTTCCAACACCTCTCACTCACCTTTCTGAGCGCTTCAAGAACAGACCCCCTCTCCTGAAGACCTCCTTGGATTAGAGATAAGTACCAGTAAGTATTATCTCTTTTATTCTTCAGTAGTAGACTTTTTTCTGGGTTTACTCCTTTATTATAAAGGACCAGAACTTCAGTACCACCCCTGCAACTCAGGACCTGAATTAGAGGGCACAGTAAAAAACCCCTGCAACTCAGGCCCCTCTGTAAATAAAAACTTAACAGTTTTTATTTACTATTTTCTTTTATTTTACACACACTTTCCCCACTTTTCACGTGTCACCCACACGTGTACACATCCCATTTTTTCTCTTGCAGCTAGTGTAGCTAGAAGAGTTCTGCTCTTGGCATCACTTAGCCTGACAAGACAAATGCCTACAACTGAAGTATCAAGGAAATATTACCTACTTAGTACTATTTCCAAGCCAAGGGACTTCAGGTGGTTGAAAACTGTTCCGGAAGCGCTCAGAAAATCGGGTAACAGGTGATGAGAGAGTGCTGGGGAACAGTTTATGGTAGGTTGGCAGAAAATTCAGATTGAAAAAACAGCCGGAACTAGGCCAAAACAGGTGAAAACTGTGTTGTTGGAGGTGGTTATTGCTGGTAAGTGATGATGAAAATGGGGAATCTGCGTTTGGGGGAAGAAGGGCTCCTTATATACTCATTCTGGGCCCTTGGAGGAGAACTCAGAACTCTGTTTGGCTTGTGCAAGCCTCCTACTAGGCATTGGTGACATGTAGCACAGCCTAGGCACCTGTAGTCCTTGGTTACAGGTGTCAGGGGGCTGAAGTGAGGCTTGTAACACACACTAGGGGGTGCTGTGTCAAACCTGCAGCCATGGTTTGGTTACTGAGACCCTTTAATGACCAGTGGGCTGGTCCTAACAAGGCGTAGTTAGCCAAATTGGGCCAAAAGGGGCCACAAATGGCTTTTGCCCAGCCAGTTACAGTTGTTGTGACTATGTAGTCAAGGTTTTAATGATGTCAACCTTATTTTTAGATTTTTACCGAACTGCATGAGCCTTATTTACATGTGTAGACCGTCACAACATGTAGAATGATGCAACTGGGAGGGTTTCTAGCAAAATGAGCAAGTGTCACTCAGAGTACACAGAAGTACACGAAGGAGTGATAATTAAGGGGTACCTTTGGTGTGGTAACCTAGGTTATTTTGCATTTGAATTAAGAATTCAAAATAATATTCTAACTTTCGCTTAAGGTTCAGGAGTTATTTGTAGATTCTTGTTAAAAATGTTTATTTGTAGATATTTTTGGTTTATTTTTATGTTTTCTTTTATGACTAGTAAAACTTAATGTAATGAGTAATAATTTCTCTATTTTAGTGATTCCAATTTTTAAATATTAATGATTTATATGTATATATGTAATAATGTCTCTATATTATGTACAGTCTCCTCCCAGATGTTTATGGCAGTTGGATTACTTAATTTAAAAAAAAAATACTCATTCTTTATTTCCCATTTTTTGGGGAGTGGTAGATGGGGAGATGATAAAAAAGAGTATGAAACAACAGAGTAGGAAAACTCATTGCTTGACATTTTAAAAAAATAAAAGCAAAATTCATTTTTTTTTCTTTAATAATTTTTTTAAAAATAAAACAAAACAAGGGGAGTTTAGCTGAGATGGGGGAGATAATGATTATCAAAAAAAATAAAAAAAAATGAAAAATTAATATTTTATTGGACCATCAGAGGCCTCTACAACCAGGCGCATTCGATTGGGCATTGATTGAACTAAATTCCTGAGGTGATCAGCAGGGATGTCATCCCAACCAAACTTGATTGCTTCCTTCATCTCATGAAGGGATTTGGGTTGATAGTTCTTGCTGATTGCAGTCTTCATTATCTTCCACAGGTTCTCAATTGGATTCAAATCTGGTGACTGGGGCGGCCATTCAAGGGTGGTGATGTGATTGTCATTGCGGAAAGCTTTGGTGAGTTTGGCTGTGTGTGAGTGGGCGTTGTCCTCCATCAACAGGAGTTGATGGTTGGGATCAATCGAGGTTAGCGTGTCGACAAGTCGTCCTCTGTACACTTGGTCGATGTAGTCTACTGCTTTGGTGCCACCTGCTCGAAGGAAAACAATCGGAATCTTTGTTGTTCCGAAGAATGCGCCCCAGATTGAAGTTGATGACCGTCTGCTTTTGAATGTGGGTTTGAGACACTCGAGTTTCATTCGCTCGCCAACTTGACACCAGACTTTGACTTGCTGTGACTTCTTTCCAGTCTCAAATGAAGATTTGTCCAACCATATAACCTTGGACCAGTGGGCAATTGTCCACTCAAGGTGCTGACAAGCAAAGTCAAGTTGTTTTTGCTTGTTTTTATCGTTTATGAATGGCTTCTTCACAGCAATCCGACTGTTGTATCCAATCTCGTGGGCACGTCTTCGGATGGTTGAGCTTGATACGTGAGTGCCATGGTATTGGTGATCTTCCTCAAGGGTTGACTTCGGATTGCTTGCGAGGCTCGTCGGAGCTGAGAGATCTTGCTGTCAATTCAACAAGTTCGGTCGGTCTTTGGAGCTGTTTCAACAGTCCCGCGAGCTCGAGACCGTGCCACAATGGCTGAGACGGTGGTTTTTCCGGTGCCAACCTTCCTAGCGACTTGTCCATGTGACATTCCTCCTTCAGCCATGCCGGCGATGCGAGCTTTTTGCTCAGCGGTGAGGTTTGGTTTGCCATGTGAACGACCCATTGATGGTCCTGGTCATAAAATCATCAAACCAAACAAGAAACAAAATTAGCAAAAAATTAGATACATGCGGGTTTGTTACAAGATGCCTTTTTATTCTTGGGGGCACTTTAGTGGTAGAGGGGCTCTCTTACTTTGGTGTTGGTTCACTAGATGATTGCAGTCAGAGGCTGGTGGTGGAGTGTGGTGGTAGTAGTAATTCTGGACTGGCTGGGCGGTGTCAGGAGGAGGGATGGTTTTGGGCGGTGAGGAGGTTGATTAGTGTCTGCTGATGGGCACTGCTGCGTCCGGCCCCCGGGCGATGATCTCGGAAGGTGTTGAATATCTGGAGGAGGTAAATGCGGGGCAAGGGGATGAGTTTTTTCTTTCCCTTAGAAGAAGAGAACCAATGATCCAAAAGAAATGACATGAGAAAGGAGAGACACTGACTCAGAGATGGCAGCAAATTTCAGATCGTTGATTGATCTGAACAGATTTTTGAGTCTAAGAGCATCTGCATTGGTTTGGTTAGTTTTGCTTTCAGCTAAAATTTGAAATTATCTGAGCTAAGTTAGCACAGCCCTTTCAACTGCACTGGTCCTAGCTAAACCGCTGAGCCATACTAGATAGCTCAACAAATCATGCTCAACTGCACCAATAAGCGACGTAAGCTTCTGAAGGACTTGTTTGGATCAGACACCAAGGATGAAGAGGAACAAGAAACCGACTCTCTTGAAGAACTCAAATTCGAAAGTGATCAAGATAAAGGCAATAAGCCTCGAGTTCAACGCCGGCCCAACAAAGAAAGAAGTCATATGCAAGGACACAAGAAGCTCATGGAAGACTATTTCAATGAAAATTCAACTTACAATGATCAGGATTTTGAGAGACGATTCCGACTCAGGAGGGAGCTCTTCCTCAAGATTGCCAGTGACGTGGAGTCTGCTTGCCCCTATTTTGTCCAGAAACCGGTATGTGCTTTTTAACTTTTTCCATTCTAACTATGAGTAAGATTTGATTTGGTTGTTTTTTTAGGACTGTACCGGAAAGCTTGGATTGTCAAGCTTACAAAAAAGTCACCTGTGCGCTTCGACAGCTAGCTTATGGATGTGACCAATGAATATTGTTGAATCGGTGAACAAACAGCACAAAAGACTTTGAAGGCTTTCATTCATACAATCAATAGCCTATATAGTGATAAATATCTACGAAATCCCAACTGCGACGACTTGATACGGCTTCTTGATGTGAATAACCGACGTGGCTTTCCAGGTTGCATTGGCAGCTTGGACTGCATGCACTGGCAATGGAAGAACTGCCCAGCTGCATTGGCTGGGAAGTATAAAGGAAAGGAAAAGAAACCAACCGTTGTATTGGAAGCTGTTGCCGATCAACGGTTATGGATCTGGCATACTTTCTTTGGAACGGCCGGGGCACTTAACGACATTAACGTCATTCATCGATCACCAATTTTTGAGCATCAAATTGCTGGGACAGGTTGGGATGCAAAGTTCGAAGTCTGTGGTCGAAAATACAAACACGCTTACTATCTAACCAATGGGATTTACCCCGATTGGTCAACCCTCATCAAAGCCAAAGGGGTCTCTCAACACTTCAAAAAGCTGCAAGAAGCTTTTTGAAAGGACATTGAGAGAGCCTTTGGGGTTTTGCAACAGCGCTGGGCAATCATAACCTTACCATCTCGTCTCTGGGACCCAGAAGACATGGTGATGATCATGAGGACTTGTGTGATCCTCCACAATATGATTGTGTAGGACCATGAGCGTGATTTGACCGATACATTTGAATTAACTAGCTTGGTTACTCTTGTTCCACCTCGACACCAACCATACAACTTTAACGAGCAACAAATTTGGACGATCAAACTCAGATCTGGTGCTCAACATCAAAGGCTTACGAACGATTTGATCGATCTCAATTGGGCACGGTTGGGGGCTAGGAATAGAGGCAGTGAATGAATTGCTTCTAATTTGGGGGAAACATGTAAACTTCTTTGTGCATTCATGAGAGATAGAAAAATGAAATAAAATCCATCTTTGTTGCCAAATTTTTCATTCGGAGAAAGCAAGGTGAAAGAGTGATAGTGAGTAACCAATCAGATGAGTTATTCAAGCGAGTAAAGAGTAGGATCAATTTCTTCTGGATATGCTTGCTCTTCATCTACATATTCCTCAGAGCTTGAGTTAGGTGTGCTTTCGTCGTTAGGCTCACTTGTGGGGGTCAAAGATGAAGACAAAAGTTGCTGTTGAGAGGTTGTTGCCTGTTGAGTTGAAGAGGAAGTTGACTGTTTGGTTTCTTTTGCTTTTTGGGCGGCTGATTTCCGTCGCTCCTCAAGTTGTTCACGCATATCGTACACTATCATCTCCTTCTGGATTTGTAAGAACTCTTTGGATATTGCGTCTGGTAAGTCTTCTTTGCGCCTCGACATGATATCCATATTGACTTGGTTCACTTCAGCTCTAGCAGCCTCACTGCGGATTTCGTTGGTCCTCTTCATGGCAAGCGTGCGGTCGCGGTAGTCGTTTGATCGGCTGGTCAAGACCTTGATTTTCTTAGCATTGTAATGTTTTTCTTTCATGGCTCACTTTGTAGTATGAACTCCTGGCGGGCGCTTCCAACCCCCTTGGAGAGTTGTCGTAGTTTGAGAAAAAACTGGGCTAGTCTCCGATTGAACAACTGGGGTGGATGATGTTGGAGCCAATATGGCAGCATCTGAAAATTGAGTGCTACGAGATTGAGAGATATTTTTCCACTTTGGTGAGTCCCTGAGTACAATCCAAGCTTGCTCGTACATGAACTGTTTTCCTTCTTGTTTGTAATATGCCTTCTTGGTGTCAGGAAGGAGATCGGTCAAGACAGAACCGGATGGTCGATTTTTTTCGAGCTTCAGATATATCGCAGAAAACTTCAAAGTGCTTTTTTGGATGTGTCCCCAACTAAACACAAGGAGGAAAAAATCTAATCAGAAACAAAGACATAAAAACAAAAAACAAAAACAAAAGAGAACAAACCGGTACATGCAGTGGCTTGGGTCCCGTCCAACACGGGGGGTTGATAA